TTCTCAGGTCATTTACTTTTGGTGAGATAACTAAAGTTTAGTTCATTTTACCCTGTCTATGGACTGATTCATTATTGTTACAAAACATACACAAGACGGCGGGACAAACCAATATAGACCCCCCCATACAAACAATCAGACAAACAAAACATGAACTCGTAATAAACACCAGCGCGACAGCAAAGCTCTTCAGCTCAATTTAGTCCGGATTTTAGAGAGATCTTAGAGGGGGTGGAAATTCTCTCCAGTGCGGCGTCTTCTCACGCCTCACCCTTGTATACAAGTTATTTATCGGTGCCTGAAAGCCGTCCAAGAACGATAACTAGCTTATCCTCTTGCGACAACCACTAGGCTATTTGTTTCTAGTGGCGCTGTGCCCCCCCGATCGGAGCCCACAGACTTTTCCCTGCCCTTTCTCTCCAAACAACAGCTCAGTTGACTGTAGTCCGTACGACCAGCCTATATCTACTCGCCATCGAGTTCACCTCAAGGTGAAACACAGTTTGCCTATGCTTGCTTGCCACTACACACCTCTGATCAATTAGCCTATAATTGTATGTATGCACTCCTGACCGCCACCTGCTCCAGAGAGCCGTGGCACATCGGGTGATGCACGCACCTCGCGCTGGCCCGTCTAACCATGAGAAAAGCGGTCCTAAACAACGAGTGCTTTTAGACCGTCCCGTTTGAAGGACGGTGGTGCCGTGAGTTAAAACCTATAGGCAATAAGCTGTGACTTTCTTCCTCTCAGCCTGCACTGCTCCAGCCCCACACACACACGGTGAGGTTTCTTTTACACACACACACACAAGCCTGCAGCTGGAGCCGTGTTGTTACAGAGAGGTGATAGCAGCAAATATCTTTGGCTGCTTATTTTCAACTGCTGTGCTTAGCCACTAAGACCCCCAAAATCCGGCGATTTGTTCAATACAAATCTTTTACATTGCTTTCAATTCACACAGAAGCTCCACTTCACTGATGCCCTTTCTTTAAGGTATCTCTAAACATGAGCTGTGTATGCCTGTATGGCACTTCCGTCCCGAGCAGCACACACAGAGGAAATAAGCCAGGACTGAGTCCCCAGACACTGATCTCCTGGGTTTATCATCCCCAAATGTTCATTAACCAAAAGGAAACGCAGCCGATCAGTTTCACAGGTAATTTTAGGATACCGTCAATCACAGATTCTGGTAAGGCAATGTCCAAAGTAGATTTGAAAATCACACTTACCACAATCTGAAGATCTGTTGGCATCCTGCCGACAACGCCAATTTGTAATGGAAACTTCTGTGTCGCTATGCAGTGGGAGTCACCGACTCAGGAAGGAGACACGGGAAGAGCAGTAGCTTTGATGTCAAACACATGATGGTTTATTTGGAGTTAACGGCCGGAGGATTCACATCACAAGTCCAAGAGTCAGAGGTTCTGACTTCACGGTAGAGTTGCCACGTCAATTCTGGAGAGCCTCTCTCTTGCCAGCCCATCTAACTGGTTTCGCAGAGAGTAAACAACATATTTTGAGGAGATAGCCTAAACAGTGTGGGAACACAGAGCTACTTGCCTCGGACACCTATGACCTCGAAGATTTTACCTTGGAGTCCACAAATACAGAGAAGGAAGTGTCCCAGTGTACCCACAACACAGACCATCTGTATCCCAGTATTGACCGGTCACAGAATGGGAACAATAACATTATTGGCTAAGCCGCCTGTGTCCTTAAAGAAGGTAAACAGACATCAAGGTTTGTCCTGTATGTTACTAATTGGCGTCTTATGATAATTATTTCCACAACAGTCACGCTGCTGAAATTGACACAAGAACATTCGCTGTTTGGTCAATTGATAATACAATTTCTTTGTTTTTAAGTTTTTTTGAGAAAGTTGAAGTACTATATACTGTATATTATAGTAATAGTCTATTGAAATTCCCCATTGAGAGTGAGACCATAAACTCATTAGAAAATGGTTTACTGCGATAATACAACAATTAAGAAGTATACGGGTCATTTTTACTTCTATACAATCATATTATATTTGCAACCAGTGCTGTTGCCCCCTACTGTCTATTAGAAAGACTGCCGGTTTGGGACACCACTGCACACTTGTTAGACATGGTAGTGACCACTGGTCTGAATAAGGTTAGGTTGGGTACCTTGGAATGTTTTGTTTACACTAGATTCCCTCCCCATCCACCTCCCTCACCCCTCCCAATGGGCAAAACAGCAGCAAGCACTGTAGTACACATTTGGAAGTACTAAAATGTATCAGGGTTCGTACGGTCATTGAAAACCTGGAAAAGTCATGGAAATTCAAAATGCAAATTCCAGGCCCTGGAAAACTTAT